AAACCGATGGAACAGTTGCACTCTGACAGACATTGGTGCCATGAATCAGAACTGACTTGAAGCTAATTTTTTTATTCATTTGGCACATTTTCTTACCCCATCCCCCTAGCCTACCCTGCAATGCACTCCTTGTTCCAGACTGTTCTCATATGTATAATGCATAATCATAAAATCCTTTTGGATAGTTCTTCCCTTCATCTGATCCAATACAGTGTTCATTATCTATCCACTCTTTTCCTATTCTCTCCCTAGAAGGTAATTTTTTAACTGGAACAGAAGAAGAAGAGAGGAGAAATGGTGAGCAGACCACAAAAAAGAGAGACTCATGTTTCCCAGCACAGAAGCTGCCTGGCTGGTGGCAGAGTTCTCAAGCACACAGATTCAGAAGAGCAGAGTACAGGAAGGTTGAGGTTCGAGAAGGCAAGGAGCAGTACTTCTTGAGTCCAGGGCACCCTTTCCTTCATGACTTTATTAGTCACAGCCATTATTTACTCTTGTGGAGTGCTAACTCTGTACCTAGCAACATACTTTATATATGTTTAGGTTAACTGACTTACTTTCCTCTACCAAAGAGACAGTAAGTGGCAAAGCTGAGACAGAAAAACAAATCTAACTGACTTTGAAAAGCACAATTCTGATTGCAACAACGGACTCAAGCATCAAAGATGGTGAGGACGGCACAGGATTAGGACAGGGTTCAGATTTGTTGCTCATAGTGTTGCTGTTATACTCAACTGAACAGAATCTAGTAACAATAACCAGAGAAATGCCTGATCCAAGCCATGGTATTCTCAATAACTTGTTATGCATCTGAAAGTTGGATAATGAATAATAATCTATGCCTTTGGAGTTGTGCTTTGGCAAGGAGTATTGAGTATCCCACTGACTTCCAAAAAAACAAATGTTTTGAAGAAAATGAACCCAGGGTGCTCCTTAAAGGCAAGGATGGTGAAACTTTGTCACATATTTTGGGCATCTTGTTGGGAAGGGCCAATGCTTGGAAAAAGACATCATGGTTAGAAAGGTGGAGGAGGATCAACAAAGGACCCTCAACAGTGAACCTAACTATGGGCTCAAGTGTATCACAGACGTGAACAGCACAGGATAGGTTAAGCCTCAGATCTGCTGTTCATAGGGTTGTATGAGTTGTAGTCAACTACATGGCACTGTCGGCCAGAGAAATGAGACCTAGTCTCCCAAAACAATATACAAACTCGATGCTGATTCACATATTGAACTGAATTTTAAGCATCTTATGTTTATTTGGTTTCTGTGATATTTAATAAACAAAATCAATTCACACTGCCTATTAAGTCTATCATATAACCCCAATAAAAACAATTCTCCAAGAAAAAAAAAAAAGAAAAGAAAAGCACAATTCTTTATACAATGCAAACTACCTTCCACAAATGAGATTACATTTGCTTCCCGAGAGAAAACACAAAGAAAAAGAGAAGTGGAAAAGGTTAAATAAATCGTTTGTGGGCAAAAAAGATTATTTGGCTGTCTCTAGTAACTCTTAGATATCCCAAATCAACCAGAGGCCATGAACTGCCTTAAGTTCACTTTTAATTCTTCCCTGAGTTAATCAGTAGTCAACAGATGGGAGAGAAAAGGGTGGGGAGGGGAACAGGTAGAGAAAGGTAGACTAGTAGAAGGTCAAGGAAAAAACAAGCTAAATTACTTCTCCACAGAGTTCTTGCTATACAGAGTAATGAGTCTCCACAGTTAGAACTAGAAGCAGTTCTTCTTGTGTTTCCAATATTTAAAGCAATACAGTAGGAAAAAAACAACAACTAGTTTTTGGGGGTGAGAAATTACTGAAGGATTGATTTCTAATTCCAGATTTATAGCATGTCTCTAATTCCTTCTGGAATTCCTTCTGAACAGTGTAGGAGTCCTGGTGACAAAGTAGTTAAAACTCTTGACTGCTAGCTGAAAGGTCCAAAGTTCAAACGTACCAGCTGCTTCAGAGGAGAAAGATGGGGCATCTGCTTCCATAAAGATCAACAGCCTAGGAAAACTTATGAGGCAGTCTTATTCTGTCCTACAAGGTTGTCCCATGAGTTGGGATCAATTGGGTTTTTGTTTGCCAACAATTTGATTACAGCTATTCACATATCCAAAGACTGGAAATGAAGGGAAAATTCTGGAAGTAGGATAAGGGACTTTGCCATAAATCTAAGAATGATGGGGAGGTGCTTACAGTGCAGAGCTGTGCTGAGAGGCAAACCTGTTCAGGGTCCTCAGATTAGAGAAGGGACAGAACTCACCGTACTTCGGAGTGCCACCTGGGGACAGAAAACAGCCAACTGCCGCACTAGCTCATTGTTCATGTTGAAAAAGATAGGCATGGCGACCAGGACATCATAGTTGTGTGCCTGGCAGAAAGTCTGGAGATCAGCAATGAGGCCAGACCGCTGCAGAAAGGACTGAAAGAGGAAATGAAGAGAGTGGTGAGGGCTGCAGCTGGATCGTCCTTGTCACAAACAACAGAAAAATCCCTGTGTTAACCAGCAGGACTTGTGTTCCATTAAAAGAAACAAAACAAAAACCAACTGCACCTACTGTTTACTCTTCAATATCTTTGTACTACAAGGCTCTGTGGTAGAAAGAGGAGAATAACTTATACTAGAGTTCGTTTTAAACCATTTCTATCTGAACTAAAGTATCTTTATTTTTTACTCTATTATTAACCAATGATCGAGATGTTCTATTAACCTCCCTGTATCTTAGTTACCTCATCTGTAAAATAAGGCTAAAACTCCAAATAATGACAGCTTCAAGAATTAAAAATGAGAACGTACATAAATGCTTATCATGTACAAGGTTCTTCTAATGTTACAATTAAATAGGCAAGATCTTTGCCTTGAGATATTTTCATTCTAAAACAGAATCATGGTGCATACAAATCAGAACAGACAGGTGACCAATTTATCCTTGACTCTTCCTTTAACAATCTAGACTCTTCTCCAAAATCTAGGGTAATATTTTCTCCAAGAGATGGGATCCATATTCTGGTGAAGTTCAGAAACTAGTGGAATGAAACAAGGAAAACCAAGGGGAAAAAGAGAATTTCATAGTGTTAACTGCTCCAAAGAAAACAAAACAAGGTTAAGTACTAGAGATTTTTAAGCATGAGGGACATTATTTCAGTTGAGGTCACAAAAATTTCTCAAAGTAACAGACATGGGAACTCACACCTGCATGACTGACATGAGCCAGCTTTGTAAAGGGAAAGAAGACGCACAGAGGCCTGGAGCAGGGTTCGGGGCTGAGTAGTTCTGAAGAACAGAAAGATGAGTGTGGCTGCAATATACTGTGAGTGCAGTAGTGGAGCAGACATGAAGAGATCACAGAGAAAGGCAAAGGTTGTATCAATTAGGGTGCTGTGAAAAGGGTAGGGGCCGATATGATCTGTGTCATAAAAAATCACTCAGGAGGGAGCTCTGGTGGCCTAGTGGCAAGACGCTGCACTGCAATCCCAGAGATATGCAGTTCAAATCCACCAGATGCTCTGCTGGAGAAGGAGGGGGCAATCTCCTCCTCTGTGTCTAAAACTGTCTACAATGTGTGAAGGGAGGGAGGGTGATCAGTATGGAGGTATTAGAATAGTGCAGGTGAGAGATGACAGAATGTGGTGCTTACAGTGGAGAAAGAGAAATGCAGTAGTAACCCTTTGTTGAGAAGGTTGTATAAAATGGAATGAGGGGAAAGGTTATGTACAAAGTTGGATGATTTTCTCCTAATTCATATCCATATCCTGCCCTCACCTCCAAATCCATATATATTGCACTAATGGCCATCTTGGTGCCTTGCCTGGAAATGGTCTTCTGGTCCTTTCTCAGCATCTGCTCTGTGGTCAGTCCTAGAAAGCAGGTAAGAGAGCAGGAATCAATAAGGAGATCCCAAGGTCCCAGACCAAGAAGCTGAGGATATCAAGATGGATCAAAGAAGAGGAAAGACAAGGGGCCAACAAATGAGATGCAGGGAACTGAAAACATAATTATGTAATTAAAACTGATTTTAAATAATTGAGCCACAGTTGTTATCAATAGAGAAAGGGACGTTCAAGAGAAAAATAGAAAGAAGAGATTTTTAAAAAATTTTTCCTATTATTTTGTGTGTGTCTGTACTGTCAAATCAGATCTGACTGGTATAGGAGGAGATTGCTCCTCCTTCTCCGGCAGAGCATCTGGTGGAAAGAAGAGATTTTTTACTTTTGTTCTTTTCTGCACTATTTTAACATTTTGTCCATATATATGTCGTACTTATGGCAACATGTGGTCAAGGAATAGAAATTTATGGAGACTTTTTTGTACTCTTCTATTATTTGCTATTATTCTTTGTATGCTTATCATAAATATTTCTTTTGCCTCCTTAACTACCTTCAATCTGTTAATAAAGTATTCCTTCAGTATATTATATGTACACGACCAATATTCTATAATTAGACTGAAAACATCTGAAATAATATATTCTTTCTCATCCTACCTAGGAGCTTAGATAGAACAATATAATGAATGCTAGATTTGATAATGATCAAAGTTGGAAGCTACCCACTTTCTCTCTGGTTTATGTTTAATTATAATCAGGAGCGCTTTGAAGACATAGTCAATACTGAGTTGTGATGTTAACCCAAAGACTGTGCTTCTCTGGCTGCTTGAATCCATTGTGGCTCCATGAGATAAAGACGGCCAGTCTCCCCTGGGAGGGTTTATAATCTCAGAAATAAGATGGCAGGTCAGCTGAGAGTCAAAATCAATTTGATGGCAATAAGTTTATGCATGCTCTGACGTTTCAATGGTGTTGAATAACATAATAAACAATGTCCGCTTATACATACTCTCATGTGATGGGGAAGGATTGTCAGGAAAGACCACCTCTTGCAAAAAGACATCATGCTGGGAAAGTTGGAGGGTCAGAGAAAAGAGGAAGATCTTCAGTAAAATAGATTGACGTGACTGTAGCTATGGGCTTGAGCATATTAAAAATCATAGGTTGGTGCAGGATAGCGCAAGGTTCAGATCTGTTGTTTATAGGGGCGCTAAGAGTTGTAGTCCACTTGACTGCACCTAACAACAACATACCTGATACATCAAACTTTGCTTTCTGCAGGGAATCAAAGATATCATTTCTTTTGGGCAGATCTGGGAAGAGAATCTCCAATTTCTCCACATACTTGATGTCTTTTGGGGTTGCTTTTCCAATCTTAAGGTCCATGTTGACACAGTCTAGGATGATAGTTCCTGTAGAGAAGGGAGAGGGCAGAACTGAAATCCCAAGGGCCTCCACTAGCAACCATCACAACACATACAACTCTCTAATCAAAAGAACACAGTATAAATGAGACTGAATGGCAAACTCATGGAAGACAAAACAAAAAAACTGGGACTGATTGTGTCTGGAATAAAAGTTCCAAATTCAAGCCGGATTATAGGCAGGGAAATAGGGAAAAGATAGGAAGAAACTGAGCATCTCAATCCTTGGATATTTTTATAAGTAGGCAAGTATCAGAGGAATAAAGTATTTAAATGAGCTATAGGAAATCATCTAGTCCAATGTGTAATTGCTCTTTGATGAAATTTCAACCTTTGGCATCATCTAGATGGCTTTTAGAGGACAGGTTCAGGCTGAGAGTCTACTGTCCCTCCTCTAGGACAGGAATTGAGGAACTAGGCAGGTCTCAACCCCAAGGCCACTCGCTCACCATGCAGAAGGGCTGCCGTTTGTCTGTCCAAGATCTCTGGTGCCCCCTGCAGGATTCTCTCAGTCACCAGGGTAGCACAGGAACCCACAAGCTCAACTGAGACATGGCAGGGAGGGCAGCATTTCTGCTCGATGGGCCGATGGTCTAGCACCTCTGTCACGACCTCCTCTAAGGCTGCATCAGTTCTGTTGGGTGTGAAGGGAAAGGAAGAGGGAAGAGAAAGAGGTCAGAGTTCTCCAGGTGCTTCTAACCAATGGCCACTTCATACATGAAGGAAAATAAAGACACTTCAACTTTTGGTTATTTCTACATCTTGATTCCTTGTTAAAACTGAAGTCACCTTTAAGTAGTATGTAAGTTGATCTGGTGATGTATTTCTTCCAAATATCACCACAAACTACATTCTCGTGGCATTCAATGTCTTTTTTTTTTTTTAAATAATTTTAATGAGCTTTTCAGAGATTTTGGATTTCCATTCATTCATTGCTGCACTTCTCTTCCTGCCCCCCCCCTTCGCTCCTCTTTCAAAAGGAAAAGAAACACTCCCTCCCTGGGACACAATCCCCCCACATCCCTCCCACTGCCCCAAGTACATTCCACTATGCAACCTTAATTGTGGACTCTTATAACCATAATACCCTATCATACATCGCTTTTAAATTATTCACTCCCTCATCTGTTTCAGTGCTGTATACACAATTTATCCAGTTTTTCTCAGTCTTATCCCAACCCTGATATCAGTCCCACTTTACAACAGTGGCACCATGTAATATTTGTCCTTTTGCGACTGAGATATTTCACTCAGCATAATGTCCTCCAGGGTCAACCATTTTGAATAATATTGCATGAGTTCCTTGTTTTTCAATGCAGCATAGTATTCCATTGTGTGAATATACCACAGCTTCTCTATCCATTCGTTT